CGATGGAAAACCAAAGTTATTGACATAGCCCAAAAGATTAGTTAGCTGAAGTGGCAGTTGGCCGGACACATTTGTCGAAGAATCGATAACTATTAAGGTCTGAACTTAACAAGCATGGGTTTGGCATGATTCAGGTGCGACTCCGACACGGCGTTTTTTGTTTTGTAAACAATACAAAAGGTTGTAAGCGCGCTTACAGCTTTTTTATATTGACACTAACTACTTCCGCGCGGTTTCACACGCTCTGCTCAGCTCCTATTGGTTGTAGCGTGATGTTTTATAGCCTATAACCATCCTCGATAAATGCGCTACCCAACACAAAAAGAATTATTCAAATCAGACTTGTAGTTACGGAGATTAGCGCGTTCAAACAAAAAAAAACAAACTCTTCCGCTTTATATAATAGTATAAGATATAAGATTATGAAACATGTCATACAATTTAATGTTCATATTGAAATGACAACTTAATTGCTGGGTTGGAGCCGTACCGGAGCCGTGCTTGTTAGGTGTGCGGTGAAATTTTGATATGTTCTAGAGTGGACACCGCGTCTAGGCAAACGTATTGTAGGGCGCCCTCCAGTTAGGGGGAGTGACGATATCCGTAGGTGATTGGAGGCCAAGAGCTGAAGATCGAGCTCAGTGACGTGCTATTGCAGAGGTCTGCAGTGTCCAGCAATGGAGAAACACAGGCCGATGATGATGATGATATAGAATTTGTGATCGAATCAGAGATTTTGGATTCGTTCGAGAAGATCGTCTATTAATTTCGGCCATAAAAGTGTTCTTATTTATATGTAAACAAGATTGAATTTAAAACGTCATTTCAAGAGTCGCGTCCTTTCATATTAAACGTCTACCTATCACAAAATGTCAATGCTCACTGCTAAAATATTAACAAGACGACTCACAAATTGACCTTTTTAAAATTCGACTGTCGACGTTACTTTATTTTTGTTTTATATTTATTTTATCTACATTTTTGTTTCTGATTAGAATTTTTGTTTATATAATTTATTTTTGTTATAATGTATTTCTGTATATTTAGTTTTTCAAATAAGAACGCTGTGATTGACTATTTTTACGAGCTAGATAAAGTTTAGTCTCAATTCCATAGACCATAGTTATTTATTTGACGTTTATATTGGCGGGAAATTATTTTGGTTTGTTTTTTTTTATCGACACATCTTCATTATTTATTTTAACCATCACAACCTTTGTTGGCTTTGCAGAAACTGGCAAAAAAGAAAGGTAATTTTACTACGTAGCTATTTTTATTAGACAGACACAAAATTAAGTGTAGATATATTATTTAATTATACCTATACTTACGAAACGTTTCTAAAACGACATTAATTAACACACCCTCGTTATCCCTCTTCTGGTGTTTCAAGTTTAGTTACCTAGACAACTGGAACCACTTACCATCGGGCGACCCCTAGTCGTTTATTGAATGAAAGTTTCGATTTTACTCTCACGAGACTGCGCTAGTGAGGTATTTGGTCCTATAAGGCCAATAAGCATAGCTGTCACAAGTTGACTGACTTGGTTAATAGACCTTAAACTACACTAGCGCCTCTAATGGCTTGGAAACCCTAATTGAATCTCGTTTTTACAAGACAGACAGAATTACATAGACATGGTATGAAAAACTTTTTTTTTTTTTTTTCAAAATACATTATTTTTTTATTCGGTTTTCATCTTAGGTGACGTTTATTATCGTTTTGGCTGCTATTAATTGAAATGTTGTGTTTTGTCAGAAGCTGTAATAAAGAGTAGATTTGCTTGTCAAGTATCAAAGTGTAATTCACTCCATAATATTTTTTCGCCAATGGTTCTCTTTATCACATACTTTCGAACAAGGTACAAATTGTGTTAAATGTGATAATTATATATAGTATTTATTGGTTAATGATATATTATTGTATAGATGTAAGTATTGTTAAGCGTTGGTGCGCTATGGCAGTATGTTAATCATAGAAATATTGTTCGGAAAATAAAATATTTTATATGACAAATAGTGTTTTTTTTTTTATATTGATCCTTCTCAATCATTAATGTTTACAGTCGAGGAATCTACGTACTAGGCAGTAACTAAAAACCCACTTATAGCAGCGTACAATACAACGCAGGGACGTTAAAAATTTCAAGGTCCTTGATAGTACGACGAAAATAAATAGATTAGATAGACGATTTCAAAAGGAGTTTTAAGAAGAAAAAGCGAACCATAAAGTACCGCCATAACTGATTTCACTTTTTCTTTGCACTGATTTTGTCAATTTTGACATAATACTGTCATTAACTTAACTAATGAACATGAAGATTTTTATTAACACATTTTAAATTCAATGTTATTTCTTATGGTTGTTATATTTTCTAACATAGCTTACGTTAGCAATAAAAATGCGGGGACTGCATTATTTACTACTGGAAGACCTCGAGCTAGCTGTTGGACAGAAGATGATATAGCCAAGCTGAGGGCACGGAAACATTTTGAGCAATTGATTCCACCGCAACTGAGCCCGGATAGGGTCGACAGTCAATACATCAAACGTCTTCTGAAGTACTTCAGAACAGCACTGCACACGGTGCAAAATGAAGGGGATTTTAAAACTGCCACAATACTGAAAGAAGCTTTATCTGACACTATAGGTGCACATCTCAAGAGTGAAATCCTACCCACTGTCAGATTCAGTTACTATGCCGGCTACATCCCTTACAAACATGCTCGGGAAATTCACGATTTTTATGATAACATCAAAGTTAAGATGAATACTCAAGGCTTGGGCTGGAAACGACCCGAACGAGTACCTCAGTGGTCGAATCTAACCGTCGCTAAAATTCTTATCGGATCTGGGAAACTTTTAGACCCTTGCTCCTGCTTGGTAACAAGAAGAGACTCAAATAATTGTATTCATTTACCAGCTCCCAAGTTGGATGACGATAATCAACCGTCAGCTATCGCCCTACCTTTCAGATCTGATGGACTGGTCAGCTTGACGTCTCCCGGCTCGGAGAACATTCTTTTGAAATACTATACGACTGCTTCGAGGTGTATACTGCACAGCTCACCAGCAAATTGTCGGCATTCTGACTTCGTTAATTTGAACAGTGAACTCTGGCACTGGATGAAACGTGACGTGGCACCACATTTAATGGACGAAAAGTTGTACGCGGCCTACGGCGGGGTTCTCAGAATAGCTGCCGCCGTACAAAACTACGGAAAAGGTTTGTCAAGACGTAATCTTTTTGAATACCAAGATGCAGGCGTAACTCACTGGAATCCATGGAAAACACTCACACAGTCCTACATCTATGTAAACGCTGACTGGACCCCTAAACTATACATTAGTTTGGTATTTTTGACTGCACTGACAATATGCCTTTTGCAAATTTTATATAACTATTTGTTTGGAGAGCCTAACGCGTGTGGCTGCAAAGGAAAATCCAAAAAATGTTTTTCAAGAGATATTGCATATACAAATGTAGATAGTAACTTCCCATCCGTACTACCACGGCAAAGCGCTATCTATTTTAGTGAGAATAAACGCATGAAACGTGTGTCTTCCAGGAGCAAATCGTCTTCTGTAGGATCTATGCGTACTCAGAAAGTGTACGATTTAAATGAAAATACAGAGAATCTCATGGCCGTAATAATTAGTGACAATGAAGAAACTGAAGAGCCTCGGTCATCGCCATCCAAGGTGGAAAGCGAAGAAGAACGTCGTGAAGACAAACGTATGGCTATCGCTGATGTAACCAAAAATACAGGAGATAGACCGAAAAGTCCACCAAAACTAGAAACATCTGTTGCACAGTTGACGATTGAGAAAACAAGCGCAACCGACAAAAAGTCTTCAGCACCGATGTATTCCACTAGCACCCTGACACGTTCGGATGTTACCTACTGCCCAGAGAAACTACTAAGTGATACTGGATGGTCTGCGACCAGCAGTAGTACCTCGGGGAAAACTTTTAGTTCAACTAGTTCTAAGTCTCGAAGTGCAAGATCGAGAAGTTCCCGAGATTTAGCGTGGGCACGTCACGTGATATCTAGGCACTCTCGCAGAGATATGATGCAGTCCGCCACTGGGACAGAGATGGACGGAAATTCCTTCACAGCACCTCCGCCCCGGCGGTAGCAATTCCTTGTGACATAATTTACGTTGATAGGTATTTATTTGTAGGATGTTTAGTTAGTATTATTATATAAGACTGTTGGATATTTAAGATGTATATGAGATTTTAATAAGATTATATTGTAACAGGTTCATGTCTTATATTTTCATCCTTTTTTAGATTTTGTACCCAAATAAAAAACTTGATGTAGCTCTAAGAGGTAATTTAATTTTGAAAGGGGTAGGTAGAGGAGCACCCTTGCACAGTTCCCATGTTCAATGTAGCATTCACCACGTTGCACCAGTTACAATTATTATAAGTTACATGTATTTAGAGGTTGAAGTTATTGCTAACGCTCTTAAATAGGGTACCTATGTAACACATTCCGTGGTTATTATTTATCGGAGCCGGGGGGCATAAAGAATTCAAGGCTGTGTATTAATATTATTACCAAAAATAACTAAAACTGATAAAACTTAATAATATTTTGGCTGACCTGGAAATCGAACCTGGCTTAGGATTTTTTTAAAGGGCTTAAATAATCCAATTATTTCTTTTGCCCGAGGGATGCAAAAGGGAGTGTTGTACTCTTACTGACTAAAATCACCTCACTCCTAGAACTGTAATTTAATCCAGAGCCCCGGCAACCCGTTGAATCCTCGGCGGCTCCGTAACTTGGCTTGGTGGGTACCCAACGCATCCAATAAACCACAATCATACCAAACTATTATGTACATCATGAGGTAAAGCGAAGAATGTATACAAGGACGTTGAGAAAACGGAAATCCATGACAAATTTATGGTTGTACAGTATCTACTTGTAAGTAATAAGAGTTTAAATTTTTTTCACAGTTGGCAACTGAGTAAGCTGACGTCAATGTCAGTGTCAAGTAAAATTGTTGATTGACAAATGGTGCATTTCGCGGCGAAGTGTTCGGTTAAATTTTCTTACAAATATCGTATACTTCGCGCAAAATTGTCTAAGAAATATTTTCAGCAAATCATGATAACAGTGTCTTCATCTTAAATTCATTATATTTTACTTCAATATGTCTAGAGTAAGTACTAAATGATATATTTGCTCAGCGGTTGTTGTATGAAATATTGCGCTCAATATTTGAGACATTTTAAATATTTCACATTGTGTTTCTATATTTTAACGTTACTAAATGCCAGTAATATGTATTTGGAGGTTTTTATTACAGATACAACAATTAAACTGCTAAATTATTAGAAACCCTGAATGGCTAACATATGACTATCTACATACTAAATGTATTGTTTATAGTCCTGTATCATATTAAATTAACTATCTAATAAGTTAAGAATTAAACAGACTTTTCCAATCTGATAATATTAGCGCATTAAGATAACCAATTGCACTTGCAATGATAGAACTATGTTTCCAGGATATAAGATCGTTTTTTCAACCTAAAAAGCCGCCGAAACCTGCTGTCACTGTTGACGATGATGACGATGTTATTCCAGAGTCTCCAGATGTACAAATAATTAAAAATAAAGTAAGTATCTAAAAAGACATAGTTTTGTTACATCTTTTGTTATCTTTATAACATAAAACCGATTAACAAATTCTCATTCCTACAGAAGAAAGAATCAAAGAAGAGGCGTGTAATAAATGATGATTCTGACGAGGAAATATTCTCATCTAAAAAAAAGAAAACTAATGATGCTATTTCTGAAAAAGGAGGTCAAACTTCAAGTAAGAATAAGAGTAAATCACCTAAACCCGCACTCAAGGAGGTCAAGGTGACAGATATGTTTGGAAATTACCCTATAAAGCGCACAGAACCATTAGTAAAGAAAAAGAAAAAAACTGAACTAGGCATACACTCTGACGATGAATTTGAAAAAAGTTTACTCGAAATAGACAATGCAGAGTTAGAAGGGAACATAAATAATGACAAAGTAACAAATGATGAGAAATCAAAATCTAGCACTGAAAAGGTGACACCATCGAAGTCAACAGAGGAATCACATAAAGAAACTAAAACATCACATGAAAAGAAACATAAGAGCCCTACAGAAACAAAGAATGACGAACATAAATCAAGCAAGGGTGACAAAGCTAAATCTGATGAAAGCAAAGAGAGTAAGCATAAAACTGATGAAAGCAAAGAAAGCAGACATAAAAATGATGAAAGCAGACATAAATCTGATGATGCAAAAGCAAAGAAACACACAAAAGACGACAAGAAACCAAACCAAAGTACATCACACTCAAATGATGGTGAAACTAAAAAATCTAAAATTGAAAATAGTAAGAGAAAGTTTGCAGAGTTTATTGATGGTGATACCAGTGATCATGGTAGTAAGAAGAAGAAGGTTGACGAACAGGAGAAAGAGAGCAAGCATAAATATGATGGGAATTCTTCTGTTATGGATGAAAGTATGGAGAGTAGTAGGAAACGGAATATGAATAAGAGTTTGAATGAATCAGGTAAAGTTGGTTTGAGTAGACAAACATTGCCTACTGAGAACTTAAGCGTAGTACAAGTTTGTTTTTACCGACTTCCAAAAAGGAGGAGGTACTGTGCTCAAATGATTATTTTGTTTTTTTTATACATATGTTCACCGATTACACCATCTATATCAAAACGATATAACTTAATGATCACAAAATTGTTAACAGATTAATATTTGGTATCTATAAAGGTTTTAATTAATAATTTTGTTTGGAACTTAGGCTATCTTATAACGGTCTATCAGTGGGTGGGTAACCTATCAGTACCAATAATAGTTACTTTTTGCTTTTTAGTTGTAACCTTTTTGTTTTTGGGTTATTTAAATGCAGTTTTTATTTTTTTATACATTAAAATAATCGAAGTGAAACCGCATTGGTGGCTCTGATTGGTTGGTTCATTGGAGCCGGCCAATCAGAGGGCCGAACGCGGTCTTGTCACGAATACTTTAAATGTAAAACAAACTCGTACAAGCCCTCTGCTGTTAGATTTTAAATATTTTATTTTTCATCAAAAATTAATAACCTCCCTGCTCCCGCCTGCATCTATTGTAGTTCAAACTTTAATCTGATGAAATCGTGCTTTGAACTTCAAAAAGATGAACCATAAAATACTTCATTAATTACTATGTTTTCGGCTTACTTACCTAACTGACGACTAGTAGCAGCGCGACAGTTGCCGCGTCGCGTCTCGCGAAATGCTGCTCATGAATATGAGCCTCTAGCATGGCTTGAAACTAGTCGAGTTCCTCGTCAAACAGTTACGTGAGTAAGCCGAAAACATAATAATTAATTTAGTATGTCTCACGAAAGTTATAATATAGAAATACTTCATGGTTAATCTTTTGCATAGTGAAATTTAATTCTTATTTAATCTAGTTTAAAATATGCAGATTCAGAGGAATATAGATGTAATACCTGCAGTAATTCACCGAGGGAAGTGGAAACTATCGTTTTTTTTCTTCTCTTATAATATCTTCTGATTCACTTTGTTGCGGGAACCAAGACAGTTACTCATGTCCCTGGGACGCGCCGGACTTCAGTGTTCCGGTGTTTTCATGGTTGTATCTACTGTAGATCCTGGCTTACAGGAGTTGCAGCGGTTTTGGGAGGTTGTGGCGGGCTTGTCCCATTAAAAAAAAAAAAAACCAGATGAAGAAAGACACGAAAGGCGAATGCATTCAGCTGCTTTATACAAAAATTATTTGAACAGATCTGGACCAAAGCATTTAGGAGCTAAAGAAATCCCTGAGGTAACCATGTCATTGAAATAAACTGTTCATTAAAGTCCTTGGGGCTTACTCTTGAATCCAATTCCGATCGATCGACATTGGTATTGTGAAATTTCGTACTCTTGAGTTGTAACACTAGCGCCCATTGCATCCGTATTGCGTGGATATTGAATGAACTAAATGGTATTGAGTTTGACTTTATATTCCGTACTCCGAATGCTATTGTAACAGCTACGATAGGGGTTGTATAGTGTTAACATTGAATAATTATTGAGATTTTATTGGATTGAAATTGTATTGGCATTGAGATTGGTTTCAACTTGAAACACACAAGGTAAGCCGGGCAAGGGGTCTCGGTGTCGATTCCTGGGTCGGCCAAAGGACTGCTGGGTTTTTAAAAAATTCTGAGTAGTAGCACGAAGTCTGAAATTGTGCCTGGTATATGGCATTAGGCTCAGCCCCTATTACATGGGATTCATAACATAAATAGTGAAAAGTCGGTGTTACATTGTACAGTGGCAGTAACTGTCACATTGTGCAATTCTGCCTTCTCTTCGGGGTTAAAAGGCTAACATCACGTCTTTATGTTATGTCTAACAACAATTCCTTGACTGAAGAAGAGTTCTAAACAAACACTACACCAATAAGATTAATAAATAATGTAAATTCATATAATTTCAGGGAAAACCAGATTGTTTGAAGGATTGTGCGTTCTTGTTGACTGGAGTGCTGGACTCGTTTGAGAAGGATGAGGTAGCTGCTGCCATCACCAAGTATGGAGGCTGTGTCAAATCTGGAGTTTCTAAAAAAGTAAGTATTATTTATTTAATCTGTCAACTATTAGCAGGAAAAGTTTACAAAATTTATTCATACAAAAATAGTCACTAAACATCGGGAAGAAGGTCTATGTTGGAGTGAGTAGAGAGCTCGGGATTCAGTCAAATTAAACTATTCAACAGGAACTTCTATTTATACTTTCGTCTAGTTATGTACTGGATTACGTACGTAACTCTGACCTTGGTATATTGTAATACCTGGACCTGGATCAATCACCCAATGTTGATAGCATCTATTTTTCAGTGACCTCATTGTCTCAACTTTTTTAAATGGTTAAATGATCTCAAATGGTCGTTGGGCAATTAGCTGCCGCGCAACGTGTCGCGGGTTCGATTCCCATATGGAACTACTCTTTATGTCATCCACAGATTGTCCGGGTCTGTGTGTAATGTGTATCTGAACTTGTATGTTTGTAAACGCACCCACGACACAGGAGAAAATCCTAGTGTACGGCAACGTTTAAAAAAATACTGCTTAGGTAATCCCGATCCCAAAACTGCTTGCCAAACTTAGGGACTATAGCAAACTCCACTTTGTTCAGTTATGAATGTCGTTCAGCTGATGATGAAGATGACTTCGGTAAAGTATACTTTCTTCTGGCACAGGTTACACACGTGATCGCAGGCGAAGACGCTGGCCCAGCGAAAATGGCAAAGGCACAAGAACTAGGAATCAAAATTATAAACGAAGATGAATTCCTAAAAATGATCGTAGACCGATCACGAGATAACACTAGTAAAACAGAAATCAAGAAAGAAATCAAACGAGAAAAGACTCCTAGTAAATCTAAATCTAAGAGTCCGAAAGATAAGAAAGATAATCATGTTGACAAATTGAAGAGTCCTGACAGGAGTAAGTCGGAAACTAAAGTTAGAGATAAAAGTAGTGAGAGTAAACATCGTGACAAATCTAGTCCAAAGAAAATCAAGGCAGAAAAAGTTGAAGCAAGTTCGAGCTCGCATACAGCAAGGAATCAAGTAAACAGTAAGTACCTACTTGGATATTCTTCTTAGTTTTTCTCTTCATTACTGAAGGTCGTGTCTAATCTGGTATAATATAGCACTATTTTCACATCTTTGAACTGATTTAACTCGGTTTGGACTGTGTTTTTTATACACCACTATTTTTT